CTCTCTCTCTCTCTCTCTCTCTCTCTCTCTCTCTCTCTCTCTCTCTCCCTCTCCCCCACACAGCGATCTTGGTAGCTTTCCTTATCTTCGCTGGGCTGGCCTTGGCTTCTGCCATCGGAACAAAAATATTAGGGTAAAGTGATAAACATCTCTTGCTGAGATTACTGCCGAGTACAGATAAATCCTCCTGCTGTATTTGTGTGTCTTGAGCCTGAACTGTGAGCGTGTGTGTGTTATGGACTTACTCCTGAACTGGTTGATTCGCTTCTTGTCCAGGCTTGACGTAGTGAAGGGTATCCTGTTCCGATTCAGCGGCTCCATGGAGACGGAGAGGCTCATCAACTCTGTGAGTGTTTGTGTAGAGAGGATATTTATTCCAACCACAAACTCTAGGACCTGATTTTGCCAGCCAAATGTCTTTTATTTATTTATTGCGGTTTGCATTTGAACTCTGCATTAAAAAGCTCTTTAAGAGTTTGAAAAAATGTGACACGAATAAAATGTGTTTTGATGATGCATCACTTCGCTCTTAGGGGCTGTTGACACTAAAATAATTAAAGGTTTTAGTGGAGAGTATTTTTAGACTCTTTCAAAATAAAACAAAATATTGAATATTTCACGTGTTCAAACCTCATAGTGGTCAAATCTTCTTGGGAATTGTCTTAACCATGATTTGTGAGTCCAGTGTTGATGTCTAACTTTCATATTCAGGAGCTGGGCTCCCCTAGCAGGACGGTGTCACCAGTGGCCGACAACATCCTCCCTCCAGCTCCCAGCCACAGCAAGAGGCTGCGATCTCTGGACACATTCAGAGGGTAAGGCCCTCACCCCTCACCCCTTCCTCAAAGACGGATATTAACTGAATTACCACTTGGCCTGATCTTTCATATCATGTGATTTTTTTTTCACTGCAGAGTGACATTCATTTTAGATGACTGACACTCATTAATGAGATGAGTCCCTACTGATGATATTAACATGGCTGCAGTCTTCTCCTCCTAAAGTGAACCACGCGGCCATATTTCGGTGGTATTTTAGTAGTGATGCATCTATTGAAACAAACACGTCTGTGTCACTTTAGTTCCGTTTGGTGTAACCTCGATGCTTTTTCTCTATTTGCTGTCAGTTTTTCCTTAGTCATTATGGTGTTTGTGAACTATGGAGGAGGGCGATACTGGTTCTTTAGACATGAAAGCTGGAATGGTGAGCCCCACCTGGTTCTACTTTTTATATGTTTAATCAGGTCAGAAATAAATCACAGATCTTGTCTGGCGTGGCGTTGCAGTTGATTTTTAAAGCCTGTGTTTTTCCCATTTTGTCTTCTTCCAGGCCTGACTGTTGCAGATCTAGTCTTCCCTTGGTAAGCCTTCATGAGATGTTCATCTTCTTTTTCTCTGCGTCTCCTGATCTCACTCTTAGTGTCGCCCCCCCCCCCCCCCCATTTGCCAGGTTTGTGTTCATAATGGGGACGTCCATCGCGCTTTCAATCAACTCCATGCTCCGTGCGGGCTCCACCCGCCGTTCGCTGCTGAGGAAAGTCGCGTGGAGGAGCGCGCAGCTCTTCATCATCGGCGTCTTCATCGTCAACCCAAACTACTGCCACGGACCGCGTGAGTACGAGCACACCGCTTCGCTGTCGACTGTAGTATCGAGAAACCATTCAGATGATTGACGACGACTTGTTGTGTTTCTGCCTCACGCTGACACTCGTCCACTCCACAGTGTCTTGGGACAATCTGAGGATCCCCGGTGTGTTGCAGCGCCTGGCCTGGTCTTACCTGGCTGTGGCCTGTCTGGATCTGTTGTTTGCGAGAGGTCATCTTGACATCCTTACAACGGTTAGCCAATGATGGAGTTCTGTCATTGTGATCTCTTGTTTACATGTGATGTATTTTACATATGTGTTTGATTGAGGGGCGTCTCTGTTCCCCAGGATGCTTGGTGGTCCCCTGGCCTGGACATCATGCTGTACTGGCCCGCCTGGCTGTGTGTGCTTCTCTTAGAAGTCATCTGGCTGTGCCTCACTTTCCTACTTCCTGTGCCAGATTGCCCAACGTGAGTAAAACCGGGCGCGTTTGTGTCCACGTAAAAAGAGAAGCGCTCAGCAAGCCACAAGGATTCGACCGCTTCTGAAAAGTATTTTGTCTGCGTGTACACATCATCAGAGAGGGGAAACGTGTTTAACCACTGCAAGCTAGCTCACGTTCCTTCGGATACGGTGACTCAAACTGGATCTGGTTTTTGAAACGATAAAGTGATGTGAAATTTAAAAAAAAGTTTGAGAGGCCGATGCTTCACCCCACATTGATAACACTGGCTCCCTCTGGTTCTGAACAGAGGCTATCTGGGTCCAGGTGGGATCGGGGACATGGGCTTGCACGCCAACTGTACCGGTGGAGCGGCCGCCTTCATTGACCGATGGCTGCTCGGAGAGAACCACATCTACCAGACTCCTTCGTCACGGGTTAGTGACCGCCAACACAACCCAAACATACCAGGAGCGGTGGTACGGTACTTTACACTTGAGTTGGCTTTAGTACATTTCAAATTCTGTTTCCGTTTCAAAAAAGATGATTTACGCAACTCGTGTGCCATATGATCCAGAAGGTGTTCTGGGCAGCATCAACTCCATCCTCATGGCTTTTCTTGGACTGCAGGTATGTTGCGTCTGTCTGTCTGGTTCTCTCTTCTTCTTTTATCTCTATTTCTGATGTCAAAATTCAGAATGATATAGCTATTAGTTCTTTTTATTGTCCCCAAGGCAGGAAAAATAATCTTACACTACAGAGATCTCCACACAAGTATAATATCAAGATTCCTTACATGGGGTCTCCTACTGGTAAGCACATTCTACAGTATGCACACACTTGTTTCAATTTACTGTTACCTTTAATTATATTGATGATTATGATCTGAGTCTCGATGTTTGTTTGAGTTTAAATTTTGCCGAGTGACTAATAAAGTCTCTTGTGGCACACAGGGAGTCATATCAGCAATTCTGACTAAGTGCTCCACTGACAAGGGCTTCATTCCCGTCAACAAGAACCTCTGGTAAGGTCTGCTGTCATGCACTTTCAGACGGGACGGGTTTTGCCCATCAGTTTCTTTTTGGTATCTGTTGACTCTGAATGCTTGAGGAAGTAGCTGTAAAGGAATAGGCAGTTTTAAAAAAAAAAAAAAGAAAAAAGAATTTGTACTGAAGGGCTGTCAGTTTTTTTTTGTGCCTACTATAATTTATGTTTTGGCTAGCTGGACTACAATTCATCATCCTAAATTTGGAAACCATAAATATTCCACCAGAAACCAGAGTGTCATTAGCTTAAGTGTTAGCGTGAGGCCACGTCAGTGCATGGGATTACCGTGCCGGTTTTGAACCTTCAGCCACTGTTTTTGTGTCTCGTATGAAAGTTAGACATGAGAGAAATCATTTTTTAAAAGCTCTCCACACCTACAGGGATATTGCTGATGAATACCTGCAGTAGGATGTCTTTGACAGCGCTGCATCACGTGTTCGTTTCATCTCCAGGTCTCTGTCCTATGTGACGACGCTGGCCTGTTTTGCGTACGTGCTGCTGGTGCTAGTCTACTACACGGTGGACGTGAAGGGGTGGTGGTCCGGAGCACCTTTCTACTACCCTGGTGAGCAGATTGTAGACTGGCAGGCCTGCCCCCCCACCTGTTCTTTTTTTTATACTTTAAACCAATTCGATCAAGCATTTGTGGAGATGTAGTTCAGAGAAATCAGATCAACCGGACTCACCGCGTCTAAATCCGCTCTTCCCTCCGATTCCCAGGTATGAACTCCATCCTCGTGTACGTGGGCCACGAAGTGTTCGAGGAGTACTTTCCCTTCCGTTGGCGCATGGCCAACAGCCAATCCCACGTCGAGCACCTCGCCCAGAACCTCGTGGCCACGTCCTGTTGGGTCTTCATCTCCTACATGCTCTACAGGAAGAAGATCTTCTGGAAGATTTAGAAGCGGAGGCCCCTAAATGATGGGACACTGTTGACATCAGAATTGAAGGAGGTCAAATCTGAAAATATTAGGAAAGCGGTCCAAACTATGGTGGTTATCTGTCACTACATTATTTTTCTTTCAACCAGCACATCTTTTAGTTTTTTAATTTCTTTTTCCAAAGATCTTGAGATACGCAGCGGCTGCCAAACATCTTAACTCACTCAGGAAGAACGCGTATGGTGTGGGAATTTGAGAACTGTGAACACTGACATTGTTGATCTGCCATTTAATTGTGTTATAGACGCTCGGTTTTCATTCCTCATCTTGCACCGCAGACGGCGGCAGCAGCAGCAGGCTGTTGCAGTGGTGGTTTGTTGACTTCCCTTTGGGAGAATCCCTGCTGCCATCTTAAAGTACTGTCGCATTGCTCTGAAAAGCTGATGTGGGTTATTGTGAGACTGACCCTTCCAGAGCAGGAGACATTAAAAGAGAAAAGGCAACCAATAATGCGTTGTGATCTCCTGTTTCCACTGCAGTGGATGATGGACGTGATATTCAAACAAGGGGAAACCAGCGTGTAGAGGTTTTTAAAATATGAATGTTAAACTATCTGCTGCAATGTTTCATTCCTCAGTCGTCTTTTTTTCCCCCAATCCTCTGCTCCCCCAGTGGTGCGACACATGAAGCTGTGTGTTACCAAGAGCTGAGGGGAAGTGAAGGAGGGCATGTGAGATGACTGTAGCCCACTGGAGGGTGCTTGCTTTGCATTTTTGGTCCATGCAGAAGGATTCATGTGTATGAGTTTCTTTTTGATCAGGGTTTTTTTTGTAACACAATGTTGGCATTGGCAGAAGTGATCTGCCTTTCTCTTGCCAAAAGTTAGCTATTTTGGAGTTTATAGAAAGCAATTGTACTGAACAGTAGTTTAATTATGGGATTCTGAGGTGTGGTGACATCTTATCTCACCATAAAACTGTTACTATTACTCTCACCATACTGCATGCATGTACGATTGGCAGGTATTACTTTTATTAACGCAGTCTGCAAAATCATATGTTCAGTCTGTGAAATATCCAAATGCTGTGGGTGATTTTTGGAATAATTCATCTAGTACTGTCTAAATTGATGAAAATCATTGTGCCAAACTTTTATACATTTTTTTTTATTCACAGTTTGAAAATAAGTTTATGTAATAAAATATAAATATCCAAAACATTATTGCTGTTTGACTCGTAATGTGTTCTCTTATCGGGCCCTTAAAGCAGGGTATAATGATTACTAGTTGTATAACTGCCATATGAAGACTTTATATAAGAATACATATTCTCCAGAGTTACAGTTCACGTAACATTATTTATCTTCAAGCTGTGTTTCCAGCTCTTCGACGTGGAGGCAGGTGTAGTTTGCTTTATTGCTCAATAAGCCGTGGGAATCGAGTTACAGTGTGGGTGCCTTGTGGAGGAGAAAAAAAAGAAGAAGGGGAAAAAAAAGCAAGTTGTGAGAGTGCCTCGGTCTCGCGATACGATCGGTCTCTCTTCATTCGTGTCTATTGTGAGAGTTTTTGCGCTCTCGCGCGACTTTGCAACTTTCCCACGCCTGTAGTTTTGGCGTCGACCCGTCGCCCCTCCCTCCCCCTGTTCTCACCCCTTTGCCCCGTCACACCTCCCCCTATTTTCTCTCCCCCCTGCTCTTCCTTCCAGTCTGCTTCTTCTGTTGTGCCGCTGGCTTTGGCGAGGGGGCTTTGGGGGAGGGATCTCGCGATTGTTGGACTCCTTTTTTTTTGGGGGGGGGGGGGGGGGGGAGTTATTTGGAAGATGGCGCCCGTTGTTACGGGGTAAGTGCTGAAATTCAAAGCATAATGATATTAAAAGTTTTTTTTCTCCTCGTGGTGAAACGCTGCCAGTTGGCGGTGTGTTAGAGTGATGTTTGTGGGTGTTAGGAGCGTTGCCGCGACCCCCGTAAGCTAACCGCACACAGTGCTGCTGTGCGGCTTGACGTGGGGTCAGTTATGCTAAACTATTCTTCGTAGTATTGCCTGGCTTCGCTGCCACTTGTTGACTTGTCGCACGACACGGACCGTTTCAAACTACTTTAGAAACTTTCCCGGCCATCGACAGAATGTTTTTATAACTCAAATAACCTGCTGCGTCTGTTTAATGCGTGTTTCTACTGGCTGAGCACAGCTCCACTGTGACAATGTCTTCACAAACTAACGTGTCGCTCAGCACAGTGCTACATTGTTAACGTGCATTAAAATCATAGCGATCGCGTGGATTAGCCGTAGCAGAGTAACGCTAGACCAGTTCATCATCATCCTCGGCACACGTCTGCTGGTTCAATTTCATTTTTCCTCCTCAAAAAGTAGCTTATAAAAGAGAAGTTCGTAGTGTTGCTGTGCCATTGTGCGGTCACATTATTATTAACTGCTCAGAAACCAACAGAAGTAAATCCTGTATTATGTGTGAATGAATGCGTGGTATTACACCTTTATACACAGTATGATGTTTAAGACGTCACTAACATGCTCTTTGCCAACTCAGTTTATTGCCCCACTTTCTGTCAAGCTTGTTGTTGTTGTTGTTGTTGTTGTTGTTGTTGTTGTTGTTAAACCACATGTACACAACCCTGATGTTTTTTGTGTTTCTGCAGGAAGTTCGGTGAGCGACCTCAGCGTTTGACAAGGTAGAGAGAGAAACACAGGCAAACAGCTCAAAAACATTCAAATCAGTACGGGAACATTACGTGCAAACAACTTGAATCATGTTAATGTTTTATATATATATATATATATATATATATATCATTTGTTCTGTCTTCTGTTTGTTTCAGGGAGGCTATGAGGAATTACTTGAAGGACAAAGACGACCAAACGGTGCTCATACTGCACGCAAAAGTGGCACAAAAGTCATACGGCAATGAAAAGAGGTTGGTGCGGGAGGATTCTGATGGCGAAAGCTCACGTGTGCCATATGTTTGTTTGTTTGTTTGTTTTAAACGCCCGCTTGCCTCCATCAGGTTCTTCTGCCCCCCGCCGTGCGTGTACCTGATGGGCAGTGGCTGGAAGAAGAAGTTGGAGAGCATGGAGAAGGAGGGCTGTACGGAGCAGGAGGCCCAGCCGTGTGCGTTCATCGGGATCGGCAACAGCGAGCAGGAGATGCAGCAACTCCATCTGGAGGGGAAGGTGGGTCGGTTTTTATGACGACGCAGTGCCGCAGGGTGGGGGGTTTTTGATCGTTATTTCCATGTGACGGTGTCTCATACTTCTCTCATTGCACCATCGAACTCTCAGACGGAGAAGTGAAAGGGGGACAAACACAAAAGAAAAACCCTAACTTGTGTGGTTTTTTTTTTTAGCACTTCTGCACGGCTAAGACGCTGTACATTAGCGACTCGGACAAAAGGAAGCACTTCATGCTGTCGGTGAAGATGTTGTACGGCAACAGCGCCAACATCGGCTTCTTCCTCAGCAAGAGGATCAAGGTCATCTCCAAGCCCTCCAAGAAGAAGCAGTCCCTGAAGAACGCCGATTGTGAGTTGAAAAGAAAGAAGAAGAAAAAGACAGATGTATGGTTTCTAGGGCTGGGCGGTATACCGGTTCAACCGGTATACCGGTTTCAATTTCACGTACGATATGAATTTTTCATATACCGTCATACAGCCGAAACAACTTCTGTCGCTCTTCAACAGGCAGCAAAATATATTGTTCGCCGCTAGAAGCGTTACGGTCGGAGCTAGTTGTCTTAAGTGTATTGAGAGGGAACCCTAGTCATGGTCATAACTTTATAACAACAATTAACAACCCACAACTAATGCTCTTTAACGGGGCAAAACACCACGACACAACAGTTTGTGACACAAACAATTTGTAACACTAATAATTGTACATTTATAAAATTTCACCGCCTAACTGCATGCTGGGTACAGCTCGCTAACAACAGTCTGCTAACAGCTGGGTGAGGCTCTGTCGCTCCAGTAACATTACATGAAAGAACAGAAAAGAGCGATGCAGGATGAACAAAGACTGAACAACAAAAGGTATTTTGGTTAGACACACATGCAACGCTGATTACCGTGTAATATGTGTGGTATTTGTTATAAATGTACGTTGGTACATAGAGGGTGATAAGAAGCTGTACATGGAGGGACTTAGGACCCTGGGGAATGTAGGTGAAGGAAACAGGAAGTGACAGAACGGAAGACACGCCACACAAACAGCTGTTCACCGGTAGGCTGGCCGGTTCTTTTCGACGTTAATTAATTGATGCTTTAACGCGAGAAAAAAAATACCGTGATATACCGTGAAACCGCCAGAATCTTACAAAATACCGTGATATGCATTTTTGGTCATACCGCCCAGTCCTAATTGGTTTCACCGCGCATGTGACTCTTTTCTCTTTCCTCCCCAGTGTGTATAGCCTCAGGGACTAAGGTGGCGTTGTTCAACCGCTTGCGTTCCCAGACGGTCAGCACCAGGTATCTTCATGTGGAGGGGGGGAACTTTCTTGCTAGCTCCCAACAGTGGGGAGCCTTCTACATTCACCTCTGTAAGTCTTCACCTGCATTTATTTGTATTTATTTTGTATTTTTTAAATCCTCTGTGGTCATTTCCATAGTTTTTTTAAATATATTTGTTTATTTCAAATGTTTCTTCTCGTGTCCCTTCGCTGATCTGAAACACCTATTTAAAGGTAGAGAGGAAGTTATAGACGTGTAAGTAAGTTCTGTGTCGTTTTTGTTCAGTGGACGACGAGGAGTCTGAAGGAGAGGAGTTTGCTGTGAGAGATGGCTACATTCACTACGGCCAGACGGTCAAATTGGTCTGCTCTGTCACTGGCATGGCCCTGCCCAGACTGGTACGCGCGTGTCTGTGTCAGTTCACGCACACGTAGGCGTGTTTATAACTCTACAGATTTGTATTGTTTGTGTTTGTTCTGCACACGCGTACGTTATCTGTTTTCCCGACGGGTGTGTTCGCCTCGATCCCCTCAGGTCATTCGCAAAGTGGACAAGCAGACGGCGTCGATGGATGCAGACGACCCGGTGTCCCAGCTCCACAAGTGTGCCTTCTACCTGAAAGATACGGACAGGATGTACCTCTGTCTGTCGCAGGAGAGGATCATCCAGTTTCAGGTGTGCAGTCCAATCACACACACACACACACACAGTTTTAAGTAGTTTTTAATTTAGTTTTTAATTTGAATTGTGCTTCCTGAATCTGGTTCTTGTAAAATCTCAGTTAAATAGCAGATCGTTGAGATTAAAAGAACCTTTATTTCCTAATCTTGAGTTTTCCTATAAAGTTGTGAAACGAGAGGAGCCGCTTGCTCTGAATGTATTACTTCTCTTCATGATTACACTACAGTGTAATCTTTAGCTTGTGCCTGCTAATAGCGGGGTACGTAATGCATTTTTAACATGGGGATTGGTGGATTTTTGTCAGAATGCACCTCAGGAGTTGTAGTTAACACAAGCTCGTACCTCCAGCTTTTTATGCATTAAATAAATCAGTACCCGCACAGAGCTCCGCCCATTTGTTTTAACGAGCACTCCAGAGCAACAGAAGAAGAGAGTCTAGTCTTTGTCCCCGTCGTTGGTAAGCTCCTGCCTGACTCTACGGTAGCTTGCGCACGTGTTTTCTAAATATAAAAGTGGGTCGTGAATTTGTTTTCGATGTTTTTCCTCCAGGCCACACAGTGCTCTAAAGAGACTAACAAGGAGATGGTCAACGACGGGGCGTCCTGGACTATCATTAGCACCGACAAGGCAGAGTACACCTTTTATGAGGGCATGGGCCCCGTCCCCACGCCGGTCACACCTGTCCCCGTGGTGGAGAGTCTGCAGGTATGCACGCAAACCTTTTCCATTGAAAATATGCTCGTTATGCGTTTTACACAAGTGCTATTCTGATTACCGACTACTTCCTGTTTTAGTTTGTACTCTACTGGTAGGGACCTTTTTTTTTTTTTTTTTTTTTTTCTCCCGTTTTAAAGGGTTAAAACCTTTTTTTTTGTGTCCGAAGTTAAATGGCGGAGGAGACGTGGCGATGTTGGAGCTGACCGGACAGAACTTCACCCCTAAGCTGAGGGTGTGGTTCGGAGACGTGGAGGCCGACACCATGTACAGGTGAGCGTTTACATCTGTGTGTGTATGTGTGTGTGTGTGTGTGTGTGTGTGTGTGTGTGTGGCGCAAAACCAACCGCCAAACCCTGTCTCATCCGTCTGTCCCCTTAGATGCGGGGAGAGCGTCCTCTGCGTGGTGCCGGACATCTCCGCCTTCAGGGAGGGCTGGCGCTGGGTGAGACAGCCGGTCCAGGTCCCCGTCACGCTGGTCCGCAACGACGGAGTCATCTACTCCACCGCCCTCACCTTCACCTACACCCCCGAGCCCGGCCCGCGGCCCCACTGCAGCGCCACGGGGGCCATCCTGCGGACGCGCAGCGCCTCCTCGTCGTCACCGGCGTCTTCCTCCTCGCCGTCGTCCTCCCTGGGCGGGCTCGGGGACGGCCACGGGGCGTACAGCTGCAGCGACTCGGGGGGGGCTTCGACCATGTCGCTGCTGTCCCAGTGACTCGGGACGAGCGGGCGGCGTTCTCGCGCGCGCCTCGAATGACTGAGCGGGAGAATGCGAGCACGGACTTGTGAGCCAAAGAGGCTCGTGGACCTGCGAGGGATCGCACGCAGAGTCGGAGGCTCTTCATCGGAGGCTCTTCATCGGAGGCTCTTCATCGGAGGGCAGCTGTGATGCTAAAGAGGGCTGGGGAGGAAAAAAAGACAAGCTTAAAGAGAATACTTGGCATAACTGAAGACTCTTTGTCTCCCTCTCCTGGTTTGTTTCGGACATGTCAACAGCCGCACTCAAAGGACTTTGATAGTCAAGATCTTCACCTGAAAGAAGACTAATCTGCCGTCTAACTCTCACAACGAACTGATTTGTACAAGAGGCATCTTGGTTTTGTTCATGACTCTGGGTTTGTAGGCTGTTTCCACTTTGCTCTCTTTCTACTGAGATCATGTTCTGACTGACGTGTGCAAGGGAAATGTTGTAAGAGTAACATAGTTTTTACGGACCAAGGAATATCATTATTGTTGTTTTGTTCATATTATATTTTATAAGCTTGTGCCGAGGTACATATTGACTTTTCTTTTCTTTTCGGTATGATACTGCATAGTAAGTTCACTTTTGTTACCAAATAGAATTTGTGTTTTGTCTCAATCTTCTAGGTCAGCGGGTTTAACCGATCAGTCCCAAAAGACTTTCCCCAACTTTTTATATCAAAGATGACATTATTCATGAGTGTGTAGCGTATGTGTGTGTGTGTGTGTGTGTGTGATAACTTGTGATGCACTCTCAGTGTATTCTGGGAGACCAAGGTCGGTGTTTTCTAATCACTGTGCCGTTTTTTTTGTACCAGAGTGCTTCAACTCCAATCTAATCGTGCCTCTTTCACCACAGCGGTGCTTCTTATTCCACAGCGGTGAAGCCTTTTAGACAACAATGACTGTGTATGTAGAATAACTGCTGAGTCAAGGAACAAAGAAAGAAGGTGAAAACTAACATCTGTCTGGTCACAGTAGAGATTTCATTCTGTGCACATGGCACAGCACTTAAAGGGACAGTTCACCCCAAAATCATTGATACATATTGTTCCTCTTACCTGTAGTGCTATTTATCAATCTAGGGACAAAGTGCCTTAAAAAAAATAAAAATACATTTGAAAAAAATCTGAAATCATGACGGTTGCTCAAGATAATTCACAGACCTCGTTGTGAGGAGTTTCATGTGGGAACTGTGGTTGAAAGAAAATAGTCCCCACATGAAACTGCTTTATGTGCCTTATAGTCCCATTATATTGGAGGGGGGGGCCTTTTTGTCAAATATAGCGTCTGACTGCAAATGCAACAGAACTCCTTTAAAGCTGCGGTTGTGCTTCGGGTCTTGCGCGATGAGGCGATGACTTGTACAGATTCAGACTCCTACTTTGTTCAGCAGCTTGAGCGTGAAGATGTCCCTTTGTTCTGGCTGAATAAACTAGTCCGGAATGATTAAAAGGACGTATCCTTCAAAATCACTGCACTGTATTTGTCAGGTGTGTGTGTGTTGTGTTTCAAGGAAATGTGTGGTGGGTCAGCCTGCTTGCTGCCACTTTTCATGGCGAACAATGTGGATCATTGGACACCTCTTTGTGGTACCACAAAGTCCCGGCCGAACGGTGCGCTCTCCTTCATAGAACAGTCCGACTAACGCGTCAGCTCTTGGTTTCATTCAGCGTTTCTTTCAGTCGCCAGTCGCTAAACTAAAAGCGCCTCCTCATACAGCGTTTTTTCGTGGCTCTTGGTTAATGGAAATCAGTGTCTCTGCTCCTCCCCCCCCCCCCCCCCCCCATGATGACATCGCTCCATCTTTTCATTCTGCTGTAATAGTCTTTCATAAGTAAATCAAGCCGCCGCCAAGGTTCCTCGTGGAAATTGTGTTGAATAAAAACAAGCTGAAGCTGAACGTCACTCAGAAGCGTTTGCTTGTGTTTTTTTAAAGAGAGCTTTCGTTTTTTGTTTTTGTTACTTACTTCTTTTCTCTCATCATCAACGAGTGGAGTATGTTATATAAATGTACTCTCTACTCACTCAGACCCTGCAGAGGCCTTATTGGACATGTGCCACTTGGGCATGCTCCACAGGCTACAGGTCAATGCTGGCCCACTATTTATAAACCGGGAGCTGAGTTGCTGGAAAGAAACCTGACACTTTGTTACTGTTTAAGTCGAGTTGTTACCGTGTGTGTGAGTGTTTGTGTGTGTGTAGTCCTGTGATCTCTCTGTGCCCCTCACACTCTTGATACTTCTAGTTTGAGGACACGGTACTGAATGCGTCTGGGTACGCTGGAGAAATCTTTGGCAACAGGTGCGCCATCGTTTACTTCATTCATCCACGTAGCTTGGAGATCTGTGAACAAGGACCCAGACGGCCGGGCCACACGCTCCTCCCAGCATGATAGTCTTGATCCTCACCTCCCATAGTGACGGCTAAGGAGGCCTTTAATTGACCCTCCAGTAAAGCCATAAAAACCAGACAGGTGGTGTAGTCAGCTGGCAGGAGTGACTGTTCTGTTGGTTTTACGTGTCCATGGTGTGGATTTGAACGCAGTTGCTCAGTTCTGTTACAAATGACATGACTATATAAAACTTCCCATTGGGTTCGCTGGATCAACGCTGCAACTCCGTGCGTTTCGCTGTGTGTGTGTGTGTGTGGGGGGGGGACATAATTAAGTGTTAGGGGCCCTGTTGCTAGGGTTAGGGTTAGAGAGAGAGAGAGAGAGGGGGGGCTGTCAGATCCATGTACAACGTCACATCTCGATGTGAGAGGAAGAGAGAACAGCACAAGCGTGATTATGTGGCTCGCCAAAACACTCTCCAAAAGGACGAGAGGCGCAGAGAAGCGGTCTGCACCCTGAGCGGGATTAGAGGATTATTGTTTGCCTTCTTTTTAAACAACAACTGAGCTAATAAGGTTTTAATGTGCCCTTAAAATCTGATTTTATGAATGATGGCTGAGCCTCTGGAATCATTCATCCAAACTTTTTATTAGGCCAAGAGTGGATTTATAAAAGCAGTATCTGTCGTTTTTACCGGAATACCATCGCCCACGTTTTGGAGTGTTTTTACGCACAGCCCTCTCGTGTTTGGATAAGCCAGCACATCGTCACTGCAAACTTTCCGAAGAGTGTTGGAACTTTTTCCGTGCGCTGTCACACATTTGGAGTCATCCAGCCTGCGAGATTTCTCAAGCGGATCATCTGTCTCACGTCTAGCTCGTGGCTGTAAACAGCAGCGCGGGGTTGCGCAAAGCTTCCGCAGACTGCCTCCTAAACGCGGGGTCGGCATCGTGCATGCTCTTTCTCCGTCTGTTTTGAATTGTTTCTCGACTCTGGACGACAGTACCATCCGCCATCTGACATGCTGCCCCTGTCCCCGCTCTTGCTCCTCGTTTTCCCCGCTGCGCTCTTCGTGGCCGCGCACGGCGCAGGGGACCTCCAGGGTTTCACCTTACCCGGCGGGAGCGCAAGCTTCGACCCAACAGGTATAATAAGCACAAAAATCAAATAGGAAAACTCAGTTCTCAACCTGGTGACAAAGTATTTAAAATCTGCCCTGTTATCGCCAATAATGCGCAAATTATCACAGGCCTGCCGTTCGCACATTGGCACTGCGAAAATGATACACTGGCACTGTGCTAGTTTTTCGTGATTTGTGAAATCCCCCCCCCCCCCATTTTTTCCATTTCCAAACCATTCAAAACATATCAACCATTCATAGTTTCTGAAAGTGTTGTTTATCCATTTGACTTGACAGGATTACCTTGTTTTTAAGGTCATTTTTGTATGACAGTGAAAGCTAGAGTGAGTCATCATCTGCATACCAGAACACCTAATTGGTAGAAATGTGGTTTTTGAGTCTTTGCCAAAAAGACATTTAGGGAACATGAATCTTTTCTTTCTAATTACATTGAAAATAAACTTATCCCACTCTAAATCTCGTAGTTGCTTTTATTAATACAAGTGTAACCTCGAGTTGAAATGGCTGCTTTGTGCTCAACAGTTGCAGCTCACCTGTGGAAATAATTAAATGTGGAGGTCCCACAGGGACACACACACTTTTCAGACGGCCTTTGTATGCACCATTGATATTCAATAGCCTACCCAGCTTAGAGGTTTCCTCACTGTTGAGAAATGCAAGTTTCATCAACAACCAGGGGATCAATGTCTTTGCCTTGTACTGGTCTGGCTGTGGGAATGAGATCATGGGTCATAGATTTTACTCTCAAAGATCTAAATTTCAGCAGATTGTTAGGAATTTTAACAATGTATGACCATGCTAAATAACTGTAGCTTGAAAAGAGTCACTCACATCTTTCAGGAAACCATCATTTTGATAGTGGGATTTAACTATAACCTGTGACCCCTGGGCCCTTCATCTCCCCGGAGCTCCAAAACACAGTGTCACAGAGACAAAAATGGACTCATGACGGAAACCTGTGTGTCATCTTCTCCTGTATTAGTGTTCCCATATTATACCAAAGCCTGGAACATACTGTACAATTTAAAGTCTAATTGCAACAGGCTGTTCCAGTTGTAACAAACATGTTTTATTTTTGTAATAGTCGATATGTGTTGCCAGTTCCTAGTTAGTCAAAACTGTAACTCTAACAGTTTGCTTTAGTATCCATGGCACTTATACAAACAGTGACTAGCCAAAAAATGTCAGTCTAGGTTCAGTGGTTAATTAAATCTTAAATCAAACAATGTGAGCAGTACATGGAAGCCCTGGTGCTCTGCAGACTGACATTTGGGTTTTGTTATGATGCTAATCTGTAAATACTACACTGATTATGCAGGTACTTCTGAGTACAGTATATGAAAATAATTGCATTTTTAAAATTATTATTAGATAATTAATTTCAAATTATTTTTTTATTTTAATGAGTAACTAAAACCCAAATCTTTGGCTGAAGTGCCACTATCCTGGAAAATGAAAAAATGCCTCTAGAACATGAACAAACAGTATAAAGATGAGCAGGACTGGGTGATAAGAAACGCCCAGTTGCGTCTATCATCATTTTCTCTCTTTTATGTGGATTTTTCACGTTATTGACTGATTATCCTGCGATAGCAATGTGCGTTCCTAAGCTTTGACAAGAGTGTGTGGATGAAGCATTAATGCTAAGTTTATCAATTTTCCTCATGTCAGGGCTGACTAGTTAGCTAGCTATCTTGCTATTTCCACCATGATTTCATGCTACAGTCACAGAACATAAAAAGCATCACATGAACTGCTGGGTCCATGTTCCTGTAACCTGTAGCCAGACTTAACTGTTTTTAACTTACCGTTCTTAATGGCCATTGCCTTTTTAAATTAGCTTTCCTAATTGCTAGCGCTAATCACTAGCATGCTGACTGTTTGTAATGATTATTGTTTGGTTGCTGTAAAGAGTCTGTTATATTGACAAAAAACAATATAAATTGTTATAAACATTTGTGAATTTGAGTCTACATGCAAGGCTGGGATATGTATATGCTACCAATTAGAATTAGCGGTTCAGGCTAATTGAAAGTCCGCTGAGTCGGGAGACGTTGGTTTTATAGGACGGGTGGGGAGGGGTGGTCATTGGTTTCAAAAGCTGACTCCATATACGTCACCTTGCTCCAGATCAGCTAATAGCCAGGTTTCAACCAGTGGAGGGTACACAATATGTAGAATTTGAATACTTTGCACTAAAATGTCAAGATTAGAACCTGAATCCATCAACAACATTAATACCCATATAAATTGGTTTAGCTGAAACAAGTTGTTTGGGGGTTGGGATACTCTTTGAGTTTTATTGACAGAGCCAGTCAGGAAACACATTCGGGACATTAACATTAATGTGTCTTTTTATATTGCATGGGTTTTAACCACAAGGCTAACAGGACACCCTGCATGACTCATTTTGATAAACACACAATTAATAATTGCTGGCCAAAACTTTGTTTGTATTCTAAAAGCAACCATGGCCATTGACTTTTTTTTTCAGTGAAATGTTGACATTTCAGTTAGGCAAAAAATGAGACTTTTTTGATGTACATAGATGGATGAATAAGTTAATGTGCACACTCCCTCTCTGTTGCTCCTACAAATGTGAATGTGCATTCCGTGTATAACTAAAATAATCACTGTGACTCAGTACTGAGAGAATTCCTTGCATCTGCTCCAAAAGGAGCAGTGAAGATAGAAAAGTGTGTGTAAGTATCTATAGATTAGATGCATTAAACAGCTGAGCTTCATCAAAGGATGAAGGATGGATAAGTTGTGTGAAATAATAATTGATGTCATTGCCTCCCCACGTAGACCCCTGCATGGTGGTGTATCCACCATGCATCAGCGAGGCGGATCGCTACAGCCTGGAGGCCCTGCGGAGCATCCACCAGATGATGGACAATGACCAAGACGGAGGGATTGAGGTGGAGGAGAGTTTGGAGGTACAGAACTCGCTCTTCATGAGATGTTTACCCTGTTTTCTTAGCTGTGTGTAAATCCTTGTGCGTGCATGAGACAGACGTGGTAATAAAGTTCAACAACAGGTGTTCAGGCTGGTGGAAGAGTCAAGGATAGCAACGGTATAACCTTTGCTTTTGGCTCGGTGACAAAATAGGTTTGCTCTAATAGAATACTGCAACACTGGTGACCTTCATAGCCATACTTGACAGCATAACACGTCTTAATATTTTCTGACTCCAGCTTCCATAAGTCTTCAGCCAGTTTCCGAAAGTTGCCACAAACAAACTTGTAAAGATACACTGCTCGCCTCAGTGGTGAACTGCATTCTGCAAAATAATGTCAAACTTCAGTTATTTGCTTGTAAACTGTATGAAATGATTTGAAAAAATACAAGTTAATAGTACAATGAATACCTAAATATGACAAAATTATGTTGCAAAGCAAAGCAAGGTTTATATACCTCTTTATATACCTCAAGGTTTATATATCTCTTTTTTTTTTGCAAACCTATAATATATTTACAAAGGACATTTTGTTAATGAGCCAAAAACAAAACCCATTTTTCATTCAGTCAAGAAAACAAGTGATCAGTCGTTCATCATACGGCTCGGTACGCGTGTGTAAAGGCATATAAAACCTGCATGTAAAACCTTGTTTATGCACATTGTTGCCTTTGTGATTTTTTGATTTGTGTTGAATTCAATATTTCCGAGTTAATGATATCCAGAGTGAATAAGTATTTTGCCCAATGACTGTATGAGTCTCTGGTTGTATGTGACATTGGTAGTAAATCCAGAATTCTATGCCTTCTAGAATGCAGTTCAGGGATACAGTATCCAGGGGCTCGGGTTGCGGTTGCCATAGAGACTTAAGGAGGGAGGGTTGGGATCGGGGGGGGGGGGGAATCTGGGCTCATCAGAATACCCCCAAGATTCCCTCCAGCCCTCACATTTAGCCTCTGTTTACAGCCAAGGACACATTCCAAGACAGCACCAACACACACACACACACACACACACGTTTGCAATACACACTCATGCTTCTGCTTGCATTCTAAATGAATACAAATTAAAAACACCCACTCTTTATTCATGGATTGAAATCCAAGTACACAACACACCGCCACATTCATCCAATTTATTTTTGACGAAGAGGTTTTATGCTCAGCTAATGTTACGTGCTTCGTGACCCCTAACCTTACTCTTTAAAGTTTTCACTTGTTCCCTGTGTCCCTCTCTTGTCATTCTGCAGTTCATCATGGAGGACATGAAGCAGCAGCAGACCAACAAACACAGCCACCTGCACAGAGAAGACCAACACATCACAATTGAGGAGCTCTGGAGGGGCTGGAAGTTGTCGGAAGGTGTGTGTGTGTGTGTGTGTGTGTATGACAAAGAGAGAAAATGTGTGTGTGTGTGTGTGTTCCAAAGTTACAAGCTCTATTTCGTCTCACTTTGTCTCCTTTCCTCGTCTCACTTCTCAGTCCATAATTGGACTCAGGATGACGTGCTTCGCTGGCTGAAGGATTTTGTTGAGTTGCCCCAGTACGAAAGGAACTTTAAGGACTTTAAGGTCAATGGAAACACACTCCCCAGGTGAGGATATCTCTTGTTTGCTGTTGTCCGAGCGAGTCGTTGTAAAAGTCAGTTGCCGCAAGGAGGCGTATCAATGCGCCAAACTTTGACACCTGTGTGCAGGATTGCAGCCAATGAGCCATCCTTCCTGAGTGGCCATCTGAGGGTTCAGGACCAGAGAGACAAACAGAAGCTCAACATCAAAGCTCTGGACGTTGTCCTGTTTGGACCGCCTACACGTAAGGACAAGTCCTCGCCCTTTTCCCTCACCTGATGCCTTCCAGACCTAAAAACCCTCCCAGTTTCCACAGAGAACTACTGTCATAGACCGATTGTCCCATGTCATCATCTAGGATGCATTTATGATCCATCCACCATTAATAATCATGACCTTCCATTGCACCACAGGACCCCCTCATAACTACATGAAGGACCTGCTGCTCATTGTATCGGTGGTGATGGGAGTTGGAGGCTGCTGGTTTGCCACGGCCCAGAGCAAATCCAGTAAATTCCACATAGCCAGGATGATGAAAGATTTGGAAAGTCTTCAGAGGGCTGAGCAGAGCCTCATAGATCTGCAGGAACAGTAAGTATTCGGCTATCAGTGTCTCTCACCTACTGTACGTTGATGAATTGACTTTGTTTGGTTCGATTGCCTAAAAAACGTTGACTTGCTCAGACTTGCAGAGGCGCAGAAGGAAAATCGCAACGTCGCAGAGGAGAAACAGAATCTGGAGGAGATGATGAGGGATGAGATCATGGGGGCGCAGGAGGAGGCTTACCGCCTGCACGAGCTGAGGCAGGGAGCCGTCGGCGAGCTCAGCCGCCTCCGATACGCAGAGGAGGAGCTGGTGCAGGTAGACACGAATGCTGCGCTATAGACGCTTGTCATCCTTGCTTTAGTTTGGAAAGTTCAAAGGATTTAAAGGACAGAAAAGAAGCTTTTCCAGCAGTTTTCAACAATTTGCCGACATATTGATCTATAACATTTGACCGATGCCATCTCCTTCAGGTCCGCGGGGCACTGAAGCAGGCGGAGAAGGACATGCAGGCTAGCTCGACTGCCTCCGAGGCCCTCCAGCTGTGGTTGCAGCTGACGCATGAGGTGGAGGTCCAGTACTACAATGTCAAGAGGCACAGAGCAGAACTACAGCTTGCCATCGCCAAGGAAGAGGTAATGCATGGAAAAGGGGGGGCACACATGAAAACACACAGGTGATATTTAAAGGGACTGCACTGGATACGTAAGCAAGTAATTATAAAACATGTAAAGGGCACTTACATTTTTATTATTTCTCCCATTACTACATCAACTGACCTGCACCCGTATTTCCTTGCAGGCAGAGAGGATTAAGAAGAAGAGGAGTTCTCTGTTCGGGACTCTCCATGTCGCACACAGTTCCTCTCTAGACCAAGTTGACCAGAAGATCCTGGAGGCAAAGTGAGTTAGAAATGACCTGTGCAGGTTTCGTCTGCGTCCGTCACAGTAATGCAACATATGGTCTTTGTACATCCCAAAGGAATGCCTTGTTTGAAGTAACAGCCTGCCTGCGGGAGCGCCTCCATCGCTGGCAGAAAATCGAGCACCTCTGTGGTTTCACCATCATTAGGAATCCCGGCCTGTCGAACCTCACTGCTCAGCTCTACTCGGACTCGATCGGCCTGGGGTTTCCCAGAGTGGCCCAGCCATCTTGGTCTTCTCACAGCTCCGTCCCTGGATCTATGGAGGATTTGTTAGAAGGGTCTGCTTCTCCAATTATATCTCAGATGCCAGGTAAGTAACAGCAATGGTGGCTTTTAGATTCGTTATTTGGATCCCCATCAGTGTCCACATAGTGTTCGGATCCGGTGACTACAGAGGCCATGGCATGTGATTCACATAACTTTCATACACATCAAACCATTCAGTGACCCCTCGTGCTCTGTATGGAAACGTCTGTAATTACTTTTCTTTGTCAATGGTACAAATACATCTTTAAAAAACTGTGAAACAGTGTGAACTTACTGTCCTGTGGCCATCGAGCTAACAATGTTGCTAACTGAAACTGATGCTGCCTTTAAATGGAACTCGTGACCTCGTTGATATGAAGTTGTGTACACGATAGGCCTGGCGTTCAAGTGGTTAAGTCGTGAGACCACCAATACTAGGCAACGGCAACATGGACGGTACAGTCGTCTAGAAGCCACCGAAATTTAGTATGCTAGCGAGTGGGTAACGTAATTCAAGAAATGTAAAGTCATAATGACAAGAGGGAAAAGGCTGGTGGGAATATCAACATCTTCCACAGAAGTATAAAATCACAATGAAAAACTGACTAAAATTACAATATATTTACTTATTATCCAAAGAAAAAAGAACTTCAATGGCCTCCGCCATTTCTGAAAACATCAGCCAACACGTCACGACTCATGAAATTTTCACTTACGCAATTGTGAATACCACAAGATTGGGGGCCGTTTCTATGGACTCGACTAATGAACAGAGTAAACAGGACCCCATTTGAAGGCAACGTTAGCTAGGTGGCTAATTGAGTTTCTACGCCTATAGAATCATATAGTTTGCAAAGATGTGTGGACAAATTGTGCTGTGCCAGATTCTAATGTTGCAAACTAGGGGTATATATTCATCTCTTTACCACTGTCTTATATTATGAATTGTCTTATCTTCTTCTGCTGATTGGTTCATCTTTGATCATCCTCGAGTTCAACCACTGAAGCGCTCTCCTCAAACACGTGGATCCACCATATGTCGGTTACATCGTCCCGGCACGATCACTCAGCCAGCGGCCGCCATTATCGCCCCAGACCCAGACCTTCTTATCCCCACCCGAGCACCATACCCTTGTGAGGAGGAGGGGCTCTTCCCGAAAACTCTAAAGAAACAGTATGTCTCTCTGCCCATCAGTTTTAGAGGCCAATTTGTTTTTCCACTTTGCTTATGCTAAAACATGGTCTATCAGTGACAGTCTTTGTTCATTCCTTGATTCATTTTTTCTTTTCTTCCATGTCATTTCCTTCCCCTATTCTTCCTTTCATTTCTCTCACTAATAGAGATTCCCAAGAGATGTTTTCAGACACAGAATATATGACTTCATCTCCTCTCAGCAAAATGTTCCCTACTCCTACTGTTGACACGTCCTCTCAAAAGCTCGACCATGATGAAACTGAACTGCTTTCGGACAGCTCCATTACAAAGCATTTGAATAAAGAAGTAGAAGCTGTTGTTGAATCTCCAGTTCGCAAAACTTCGGCAGGAGAACTTGAAGCTTGTCTAGACACAAGCTGCAGAAAGATGGCAAAAGACAGAGTGTTGGACACTTCTTTGGAAACCCCTTTTTTTAAGATCTCAAAAGAAGAATCTTTGATCGAGGCTACATCAAGGAAGATATCCAGAGACAGGAGGGAAGCTCCCATGGATGCTGCAGTTCGAAAGGTGCTTTCCAATGAGTTGGATGCGGAATTCTCCGGCAGGAAAGTAGAGAGAGATACAATGGGAGATTTGAGGGACACTGCTTCAAGGAACGTATACAGAGAAAGAAGTGATTTACCTCTAGACATGAGAAAAATCATTTGGAATGAATTAGAAGCAACAACAGATGCGGCACCTAGGAAGAGTTCAAGAGATATGATGGTGGCTTCAATGGACAGCGCCTCAAGAAAGATAATACGAGATGATGTTGAACATCCTTTTCACTCAGTGCCCAGAAGGATTACAAGAGATTCAATAGGAACGTCCTTCGACTCTGGTGCTAGAAAGTTTTCATGGAATAATGAAGACTGTCAGCTTGATTCCTCTGTGAGGGCGTTAGCAATGGACGAAATGGTTGAGGCCACTAGAACACCACCAAGAAAGATATCCATAGATGAGCAGGAGTATTTTACAGATACTGCTTCCACAAATTTGCAGCCCAGAGAGAGATTTGAAGCACTTATGGATATCTCGTCATCCACAGAGAAGCAAGAGTTCGGTTTAGGACCGTCAACAAGTGGAAGGATACTGAGAGATGAACTTGAGATGTCTGCTGGTTCTCTCAAAAGGAGAATACCAAGAATGCCAAGAGTCGAAATTGACACTTCCATAGACACTCCCACAGGAAAAATCTCCTGGGAAATAGTTGATGTTCCAATGGAAATACCTAAACAATCAATACTCAGGGAGGAGTTGGGAGCGTTTGTATCAAGTTCATATCAAGGTGGAATAGGACAACCAGACCTTACGGTAACCTCCCAGGTACCATGGAATTCGTCATCAGACCTTTTGCCTGGCCCGCTGAGTCAGCTTGTGTATGATGGAATCCTTGAGAAGTCCTGCCACTCCGGAGCTAGGAAACCATCCAGCCTCTCTGCCTCAACACCAAACCTGCCCCAGAGCAGGCTGCTAGCAGAGGTGGAGCCACCATTGCCACCCTCCAAGATTTCTTTCCCATCTCCTGCATCGCCCCTCGAGACTGGAGATGAGAAGAATAAACATAAGGAAAAGAGCAAGAAATCTTTGAAGCTCAAAAATCCTTTCAAAAAGAAAACTGAGTCCACTCCAGAGAAGCCTCAAAGTGGTCTACAAAAACTCTGACGACTAGCTTAGAATGTTTCCCCTTTTTTTATTGAACTTGAAAATGAGAGTTTCAGAACCTCATTGAAGATATCTGGCATGGAAAGCTGAAGTTGATTTATTTTTGATTATTAAGTCTTATGTCGACATATAGTTGATACCATATATCATATTAGCTGCAGTTTTTTGAGGCTTTGCCTATTGTTGAAGTATGAAATTGTGCTGCTTTTCTGTATAACAGAGGCAATGCTTGAACATTCAACATAAACGTCCAATGAAGACATTTGAAGACAACAGTTTTGATTATTTCACATGAGAGATTTCTGTGTTGCTTGTGTTTTTCTCTGTGTTCATCTCACTGGTTTGAAGTAAAAAAACGAGATGTAACATATCTCATGCACCAATCAGGATTTATAAACGTTTCAATCAGTGGCGTGCCGTGCATTTTATACCTGGGCCTTCACTACTGTCCTGCAGCTGAAATACCACCTTATAACCACATGATGGCACCACAGCTATTATTCGTTTTTAAGGCTGTAACTATGTACGTCTTCGTATTAAACCGTTCGGTACAAGGATTACAATATGTTTGAATAATGCTCGAGCATTTGTAAAGTACAGAAGCTTAAATTCAGGAAAACATAATGTTTTCAGCACTCATGTAGGACAGTGGTTCAACTGGTCTGGCTGTGGGATCCACCATCATTCCTTAATGACAAGCCGCGACCCACAGAGATCATTTTAGGATTTTACTTTCACAACTGGAACATTGAATGTACTGCTCTGCAATGTCTTTCCTCGTCTCAGTCCTCTGTGTCATGGTGTGTGGTACATCTCACTCAGGTCAGGAAACTTGTCAGAATGCCCATATTTGATTGGCTGAGCTGCATCACGTGATGTGATTCACTACCGGACTAAGCTTCTACTGTTAAGTTTCGTTTCACGATAGTCACGTGCTCGCCCACTGACCAATCACAGCACACCCTGCACCTCGCAGCAGAGCTGCACATGGACACTGAGCTGCACGTAATGCTGACGTCATTATAGGCCGGCTAGCAGGCGCTGACACGTCAAAGAATACGCCCAACATGTCAAACTAAAGATCTGATTGGTTGAACACTATGAACTGGGGCCTCTCTTCTTACCTAGAGACTCAGAGGTGAAATCTGATTGATAAAAGCTCTACTTAAAACAAGCTGCACTGGAAGCAGAGCAACTGAGGGAGACAGTAGCTGTGCAATGAGAAAATAAGATAATGGGAAAAATATTTTTAGAAATTATAATACATGTAGTGTATTTAAGAAAAAATATTAAATTATAAAATAGATATAACTTTGTGATTCTGTTTCGGCCAGCAGAGAAGGCCTTGCAGGCCCTGACGGCCCACCACTGGTTTTAATCAGGATCTGATGACAATTGTGGGATGTTTGATCGTCAAGTTATCGAAACCACACCCACACAGCAGATTAGTTGAGTTTTTTAGGTTTTGACTCTTAACTTTGAACTTTTTCTTAACTTCATAATTCATTGTTGCTTATTTAGTCTTGACTATTTATTGTTACTCAGGATTCATTTAGGATTTGTAACCAAGTTTTGAATGGCCTGAAATATGTTTGACACCTGAACAGGTCTGCACTAAGAAAATGTAGCCTCCAGCAAATAGTTCACTTTATAACAGAATAAAAAACAAAAAATCTTTTTAATGCTTTCATATCATATTTTGTATCAGATTGTCCAACAATGTTTGCATATTTATGGGAAAGCGTGTGTGAGTGTGGATCTGTTGAGGCCTTTTCTTCTCACCAGAAAAATCAAAAGTTGAAAAGCCAGCACTTTTTTAGGTTAACCTGCTAAAATGTTGCTGAAATAGACACAAAATAAAACATTTTAATCACATTGTTTCCTGATGCACATACTCATAATTTAAACTGATTTTTCTTAATTTTCTGAGCTTGGAAATGGGTCAACCTTAACATAGCCAATATTGACTCATTTAAAAAAGCATCTGTCCTGATCATGTGGATCGGCCTGGGATAAGCAAAGTTTTATTTAAATGTTTTGCATTGATTTGTCAAATGCTCATGAACAGCTGGCTTGTTGTTTTTGTCTAATTGTTGATTGGTTTTATGATTATTTTATTGTTTACAGGCATACAGTCAGTACCTTGAGTAGTTTATTGGAATTCAAATATTTCAGAAATTTATTTTGATTGATTTGAAAATTGCTAATTCGTATACTTTTTTCACGTCATTATTTTTTGTCTGTTTCAAGTGTAAGGAATAAATAAGTAAAATATTTACCCTTGTCTTAGAAAAAGACAAGCACTAAACTGTAATATGAATGTAAGATTTCAAAGGCTGTTGTTATGTGATGATTTAACAAGTGACGATAAAGAAATGAAATTAGGAAAATATTTTGCATGATTCTACAATAAAGAATCTAAACATTGTCAGCATGTCAATTCTTTCAAAGGAATGTAACAAGTTAAAATATAGCTTAAAAAGGAAGAAAGTCTCAATGGAGTATGAATTTTTCTTTCTTTAAAAAAAAATAGGGTATATATTTATATAAATATATATACACTCCAAAATCCAAAATGCTAAAGAAATACACACACTTACCATAGTTAGCCAAATGAATTCCAGAAATGATATAAATATATACAGTATATATATATATAGTCCAAAATGCAAAAAGACAACACTTAGCTAAATGACTTCTAACAGAGTGAATTTAAATATTATATAACACAATATAATGCAGTTTGAACTGTTGGGTGACATCTCGGGGCCAAACCTCTATTGAAGGCCTTTTTGGTTTGGGGTTTACTCACCATGACCACTAGAGGTCAGGAGAGTGGCCAGCATGTTTTTACAGTAAACGCACTGATGTGATTTTAGGATGAAGCTCATCCATTTGACCACTGCACTGTATTATTATACGTTCAAACAAATTATGATCTGTGTTCTCAACACCTGAGGTATGATTTTACCGATAAACAGTAAACACAGTGATGCCGAGCACCAACACCTTCATCGGGGTCACTGGTCTGCAGCTTCAGTGTGTCTGCATGTTGAGTTCTGCGGTCGCAGGAGGGGCTGTTTGTCACTCTGGGTTTCCTGTCGAGCTTGACTACAAGGACTACATATTATTTTATTCAGCAACCACAGTATGTAATGATATGTCACATGCACAAGTGAATGTAAATATAATATATACCCCGTATACTATATATTAAGGAGGGAGCCATTTACTGTCTTTGTTAATATTTTTTAATTAGCGCACAACTTGTAAACAAGAATTCAGCAAATGTAAAAGTATTTAATTCATGACATGCTCTACATATACAATAATACAACTAATTCTTAAACTTCATGTTGACTATCAAAAATAAGAGCGAGGTATAATGCTATAGCTTAACGTGCAACAAAGTCATAGTATAAGAAAAGTACATTTTAAACAAATTGTAAAAATGTATGTATGTTAGAAAAAAGAGACCGTTGCTGTCTGGTTGATTGTAAGCCTGACAACAGATTTGCCCAAAAGCCTGCGCCCCACTGGCTTGAGGCGTTTCTTAAACCACAAGACAACAAACAAGAGGAAATGGAAATGATTTCATTCTATTTGTTGCTGCTTGAGTACAGGAAACGTGCTTGTTCCGTCCATCCTCTGCCTATTGGTGTGTTTGTCCATCCTGAGCCCGGAACACAACTCGAGAGAAACACGCATCTTCATCCTGAGAGACAATTTGACATTTGTTGAATCTGTGACTGAGACACATTAAAACAACTGCAAAGACAAAGAGATGGCTGCTAAAAGTGTGAGATGCTGAGTAACACTTCATGTACTTAACATAGATTCAATAAATTCTCACTGTTCATTACCTGGTCCCGTCTCGGTTGTCCCTTGGTGTCAGTTTGAGATTCTTTGTCTGCAACAAAAATGAATACAGTCACATTAGAAAATGGCTACTGCCTCTTTGCTAATAAAGTGATATAGTGAAATCTTCTGTACATGTTTAAATAATTGATTTAACATAATTTTAATTGAAACCAAAGCAATGAAGACACCTGTTTTCAGACAGAAGTGATAAACCAAAATGAAGGAGATGACGGAGGAGAGAATAGTGACGGCTGGACTGAACACCATCCAGGACTCAACAAGCACAGGGTTTTCATTCCACCCACTGGGGTCAGAGCTGGAATCTGGAACAAATACATATGTGGATTACTTCTTAACTTCTTTTCCTGCATTCAGTACAACATTGAACAACATCTGCATCAGTGGTGACTGGTCAATAGGGGCAGTGGAAAATTACGAATACGCATGCTCAGAGAGTGTGCAATCATACGAGCTTGTTGACCATACCCGTTGCCGTGGCCCATGGGTGTATGAAGGGAGACCCCGTTGCCCCACTAAAGCGTCAAGTCATAATTCAGATTTAATTGGCTGATCTGTCTGGCGCGAACACTCGTTTGCGGAAACTTCCCGTAGCGAACACCAGCGCACCATGGAGAACATGAAGGAAGTGGATTCGCTAGGTACATACTTACTCAAGGACAGGCTTGAAACCATTAAACTACAGGAAAGAATGGAATTGAAACGCCTCAGTGCCCACCAGTCAGTGAATATTGTCATGCTCAAACTGCTTGTGAAATTCCAGGTATGTAGCTTATCTATTGAAATTGTTAGTGCCCCACCATTTTTTTTAACATATCAAAACGCCACTGATGATGTTTGAGCTCTAAAATGTTTAACATTCATCTTGTTCCCCGCTAATTGAACTTTTCCAGCTCAGACCCATCTTCCAATTTAATTAACCAAAATAGTCAGTGCTTGTTTAATTAATAATGTTTCATTGGTGATTGATTTTATGCCAGCAACAGGCGAGATCTTCAACATTTTGAATTCATATGTGAAGCTGTTTTCTGTTCTCTCAAATGCCCCCCCCCCCCCCCCAAACTGAGGATGCATTGAAAGATCATAGTGGAAAATATTGCACTTTAAAAACAGCTCATTCAAATCCATCTCTTTGGAATTGGAAAGAATCATGTATTCAATTTAGGATTAATGGCTGTATACCTCTGGGTTCAACTTAACATGTTAATCATAATATGGCCCTTTTGCTCATGCATTATGATACATTTTGACTTTTTGACTTGACATCATGATCACTCACAAAGTTTAATAGAATGGCAAAAGCACATTTTCGTACTATCTGGTGATCGGTGAAATTGTGACATTCACTGCGTACTAAAGATTAACATAAAAAGAGAAGTCAGACCAGCATACTTACTGAATAGGATCCTTGTTGAGATGTTGCCATATCTGTAAACAGTTTTGGAATTAAAGTATTCCGCATCCTCCACTGTTTTCTGTTCAGTTCCACAGTAGTAGAGGCCCTCATCAGAATCAGAGATGTTCATGATCAGCAGGTCATAGGATTCAGAAGAAAAGTTTCTCACAAAGTGGAAACGGGGAAGAATCTTCCA